TATACCCAGTCGGGGGATTGCTGGATCCTATGGGAATTCTACTTTCGGTTTTTTGAGGAACCTTCAAACTTTTTTCCCAAAATGGCGGTACTAATTTACAACACCACAAATACTGTGTTTCCTTTTCTCCACATCCTTGCCAATACTTGTTATCGTTCATGTTTTTGATGATAGCCACTGTAAAAGGCATGAGATGATATTTCACTGTGGTTTTAATTTGTACTTCTCTGAGGTTTAAAGATGTTGAGGAATTTTTCATATATACGTGGCCCAGTTGTATGTCATCTTTTGAGAAATATCTATTAAGTGCTTTGCCCATTTTTAGAATAGAGTGATTTGTATTTTTTTTTTTATTGAGTAGTTTGAATTCAATTGTTATTTTGGATATTGGCCCTTATCCGATGTACAATTTTCAAATATTTTCTTCAAATCGTGTATTACTCTTCACTCTGTTACTTGTTTCTTTGCTATGAAGAAGCTCTTTAGTTTGACGCATTCTCACTTGTCTATTTTTGCTTACTTTGGCTATTTTTTTGACTTATAGACAAGTAATCTCAGCCTAGAACAATGTCATGAAGGTTTCCCCTCAATGTCTTCTTCTAGTAGATTGATCATTTTAGGTTTTACGTTGTCTTTAATCCATTTCAAGTTAATTCTTGCACGGCTCAATACTTTGCTCTCTGAGTCTGTAGCTCTGCTTGCCCCTGCCCCTATATTGTGCATAAAGTACCCAAAGTCTTTTATGTTTCCTCAGAAAGAAATCTTTATCACCTATAACTGCAAAGTTATGATTTCTGGACACCAAACCTGGAGTTCCATCCTGCAAGTGGTTGAATTACAATATAAATTGAGTGTCCAGTCATGTAAGGGTATCTTTCTTCCGGGGCATGCTAGGGCAGCCACAAAAACTGAAAAAAGTGAGGAATCGATTCTCTAGAGTTCCATGAGAGAGTGTGGTTCTCCCATATTTCTGACTTAGTGACTTCAGAACTCCAAGGGAATGTCTGTTGTCATAACCCAACTTGTTTGTGGCAATTTGTTATGTCATCCCTACGAAACTAATATAGTAGGATTAACAGAAAATAATAAGCCAATACAATATTAAGCAACATTAAGCAGCTTCATTTATCAGCACCCACAGGACAATTCTAAGCCATTCCAGTAAAACAAAACACATTGCAAGGGGGATGATTCCAGGAATGCTCAGATAGTTCAGGGATAGACAAATAATTATGCTAGACTGAACCATATGAAATTATCTTTTGTATATGTCATCATACATTTTTGATATCAACAATTTCATATGAGTAAAAGCTAACTTTTAGACAATTTAAAGGACAGGAGTTGTGAATACATATCCAAGTTATACTTGCTGGTAGTTTCTCTCTTCCCTACCAAGTGAGTTTGATACCAGCCACTATCATCACCATGGTGAATGTTGGAATATCAATGAATCCTAATGAGCATTGTCAGATAAAATACAGGACATCTACTTAAATTCTAATTTTAAATAAATAACCAATAAATTTTTCTACAACTATGTTTCTTGTGATAATTGACAATTAATATACTAAAAACCCTACAGTTTATCCTAAATTTAAATTTAATTGAGCATCCAGTAGTTCAAATGATTGAATTTAGCAACACTGAAAATAGCACTCATTAAGTATGAGCATCAATGATATGGTTTGTTTTTTGTTTTGTTTTGTTTTTTTGTCTCGCTCTGTCACCCAGGCTGGAGTGCAGAGGCGTGATCTCGGCTCACATCAGCCTCTGACTCCTGGGTTCAAGCGATTCTCCTGCCTCAGCCTCCTGAGTAGCTAGTACTACAAGTGTGCACCACCACAGCCGGCTAATTTTTGTATTTTTAGTAGAGATGGGGTTTCACCGTGTTAGCCAGGATGGTCTCAAACTCCTGACCTCGTGATCCGCCCACCTCGGCCTCCCAAAGTGCTGGGATTATAGGCGTGAGGCACTGTGCCTCGCCTGGGATTTTTTTTTTTTTTTTTAACTCGCAAAGCACAGAAGACAACTTTAATAGTTTACACAACGATTTAAAAGGTGTGGAAGATGGGTACTTGAGTAGTTTTCCCAGAGTTACAGTAATAGAAAAATAATAATTATAATACTAATACTATAAATACCATTTTTGCTGGATAAAACCAAATAATAAAATAATTTATATTGCATCTATAACTCTAAAATATCCAGGCATAAATACATGAGTATAATTTTCTCCCAGTTTCCCGGTACCAGTAATACAACCTCACCAGCTTTTCTTCACAAATTAGGTTGTTAAAATATTTCCAGTTGCATTAATTCAACTGCTTCTAAATTCCTGTCCCAACCTAAAATAATCTACTCATTTCTTCATGGCTCCACATGGTTTCCATCCATCCATCTGTCAGTTCTGGCAAACAAGTCCCTCAAAATGATTACCCCCGCCCTGGAGTAGTAAAATATATATTAGATGATCATCAACATGAAACCACATGTCCGCAGAAACAGCCTGCACCGTAGCAGTAGGTAGGTTAGTATTGAGGCAAACGACACCTAACTTGCCAGGGGATCTGCTAAGAAATGGAATAAGAGATGTGTGTCATCTTGGTTACGCAGCTTGATAATAATATCAGATACGACTGGAGGTGGCCCAAATCCCTCCACAAATTTCATTGAAAAGTCCGAAAGATGTAAAAGTCTACAATAATAAATAAGTGGAGGTGATTGTTTTAAAATCCAGTGTTACTGTGAGAAAGCAATGCTAAGCATTCCTAGAAAAGTATGTAACTCTGATTTTTAGTTTGAAAGTCTTAAATACCCATATTCAATGAGAAGAACCTTAGACATCATAAAGCCTACCACGGGCAGCAGGTTAACTGCAAAAACTGTAAACATTAATCTAAAACTAACAGTAAACCCGCCAGGTATTCATATTTCCATGAGCAGGATGCACGATTCTGACTGCCCAGCTCCTATAAGCCAAGAGGGACCATTTTTGTCCACCCAGTTGCTGATAGGCAGCAAGTATGTACCATTTATAGGACGAGTTATTTAAATTTTGATGGGGCTTATTGATAAATTTGTCATAGACAAATTCTCACTTATTAATGTAAAGGAGGAAGGAGTCAAGGAAAGAAAAAGTTTGATGTGTGGATCCAATTAAGAGTATGCAACTCCTCGGCCAGGCACGGTGGCTCACGCCTGTAATTCCAGCACTTTGGGAGGTCGAGGTGGGCGGATCATGAGGTCAGGAGATCGAGACCAGCCTGGCTAACACGGTGAAACCCCATCTCTACTAAAAATACAAAAAATTAGCCGAGCGTGGTGGCGGGTGCCTGTAGTCCCAGCTACTCTGGAGGCTGAGGCAGAAGAACGACATGAACCCAGGAGGTGGAGCTTGCAGTGAGCCGAGATCTCGCCCCTGCACTCCAGCCTGGGTGATAGTGTGAGACTGTCTCAAACAAACAAACAAACAAACAAACAAACAAACAGAAAAGAAGAGTATGCAGTTCCTCCGACAAGATAGGTATTAGTTATTTTGTCAATTTATTTCTAGTGTGAATACCTTAGGAAAAAATGGCTTCCATTTGATAGGTTGTAAACTTCAGAAGCAAATACTCCTTGAGAAATATATAACCTGAAAATCATAATGTTTGTGTCATATATCAATGCATGTGTATTGTATATATGATCAACTTCTGAGAATTTGAATTTTTAAGATATAAAGATACATATATTTTGGAAACTGGTAGAATACTGTAGTGGCTTATCCTCATCAATGTCCCTGTGATCCTAGTTTTCTAGGTTCTTAATATATGGTTTGGAAATGAAATGATGTTTTGCCTCTTGTGTAATCTCCAACCCCTGAGAAGGCCAATTTTCCAAGGCAATTCGGAAACATTGGGGAACTTATTATAAGTATTATAGTACTGAGCATTCTGTTTACGGGATCCTGATAAGGATCCTCTTTCTAGTTAGCTTTTGCTTGGTTACTATGAACTGAAGGGATGTTTCTTCCTTCAAAATTCACACGTTGAAATCTAATCCCCAGTGTGATATGATGGTATTTGGAGGTGAGATCTTTGGGACATAATTAGGTAATTAGAGTGAAACCTTCATGAATGGGATTTGTGTCTTTGTAAGAAGAGACAAGGGAGAGATGGTTTCTCTGTTGTGTGAGGATACAGCGAGTAAGAGGCTGTCTGCAAACCTGAAAGAGGATGCCTGCCAGATACCAGCTCTGAAAGAAACGTTAATGTTAGACTTCCCAGTCTTCAGAAGTGTGAGAAATACATGTTGCGTAAGCCACCCAGTGTATGGTATTCTGTTATAGCAACCTAAATTGACTACGATATTGACCCTTAATGTAAAGGACAATGCCTGAATTTCTCCACAGGGAATGACCATTCTGTTCCTGCCAGAAAAAGAAACTTTGAGATTGAAGCAGGCTTGTACAAAATCAGTGGCATAAATAGAAATGAAAATTCTCTATTCTGCTGCTTGTCACAGATCTTTAACAGGAAGAGCAGCATCAGTGGACACTTCACCCAGTCTAAAATGGAACACTGGTCTCTGAATCACCTTCACTCGCCTCACCATGGGAACTTTTAACTTTTAAAACGACATCTGTTCATCTTGGGTTCACACAGCCTTTTGTATCCATCATGCTAAACACTTTCCAAATGTTTAGTTCTTATCTGAAGAAGTACTTCCTCTTGAAAACATTACCTAGCAGTCCTCACACACTCCTGAATCTGAGTTTGTATTCTTCCTATTGATAGGTCCATAATACCAAATACATATTATTGCACATATACAAAATGCTGAGGTCCCTTTATGCCTTAGATGTTATTATTAAAATAATCATAATCTGTTTTAGAACAAAGCTAGGATGACTTATCTCTATCTCAATTCTTTTATTCTAAAAAGGAAAAAATATAATGTGTATTTGAAAAGTAATGAAAGTCATAATACTGGAAATCTTGTTTTTTTCCCCACAGCCACTGAACTATGAGAAAAAGAAGTCATATACCCTCAACATAGAAGGAGCAAATACACATCTTGATTTTCGCTTTTCTCACCTGGGTCCTTTTAAAGATGCTACCATGCTGAAGATCATTGTTGGGGATGTAGATGAACCACCACTCTTTTCCATGCCCTCCTACGTCATGGAAGTCTATGAAAATGCCAAGATCGGGACCGTCGTTGGTACAGTTTTGGCACAAGATCCTGACAGTGCTAATAGCTTAGTAAGGTATGGCATGCTTCAATCGTTTAGACATATAAAGATTTTTATTGCCTCTCATAGTAATTAAACATTAATAAAATTACAGTTAAAAGGCTTTATTTCTACGTTGTTTTCTGCGAATGTACTTAAATTATAGTATTAATTGATTTTTATCTGAGTAGCTTAGCAGATGGATTTTTGTCACATTAAGAACATATTTTGCTATCTCCATGAATGTCTTATTGGCCATACGTTAATTTTTCCATTTGACTTAATGGATGTGAGTGTAATTGATTGAGAAAATTGTTGTAGAGCTATTTAATCACAAACTGGAGAATCTATTGGTCCCTTAATAATAGGAAATGTAGATATAGCAAAAAATGGGATGATCTGGGGATAATACTCATCTCTCACTGACTCTGGTTCCTTTGGTCAGCCTAGCTGTGTGGCTTTCTCTTTGTATGTAAAAGTAGAAAAATAATGTCTGTGTCTCAGAGCTGTTGTGAGGATGCGTGAAGCAATGTGCATAAAGCACCCAGCAAAGCGGCCTGCACCTAGTAGTCACTCAATAAGTGCTAACTTGTCAAAGACAGTATAAGATGCAAAACACTCTGAATACAGGAAAATCGGTGTGGGAACTCTATTGTGACTACTTACCAGCAGAGTGATCTTTTACAGTCATTCAACCATGTGGAATGTCAAGTTCCAAATATGGGAACAAAGAATAATAATGTTACATAAATATGTTGATACTATTCAGTTAGATTAAAATAAAGGACTTAACTCATTGCCCAGCATATAATAAGTGATCACTGAATAATATTTGTATTATTTTAGTACATCATGCTGGAGAGATAATTAGAGCTTTTTCTGCATCATCCAAAGAGATTTTTTTGTGTGCCTCATTTATAACAAAATCAGAAAGGCTGTGTACATGTGTAAAACTTCTTAGATATCCTGTGTTTATATGCATGGAAATCCTGTCTCTAGAAAGGTTAAAATCCTTAATAATCTTTCTATTTTTCACCATGAAGTCCTTGTTTTTCATTCACTTAACAAAAGCTAATATTCTGAATAGTCTCCTCAGTATCTATGGAATATTTGTAAAAGCTCTGAATTTTCTTTTTCATAAGCATGACTGTTTCAGTTAAAAATAATCCCCCTAGCACCCATGCAGGTAATGAAACAATTTTTTGTGCACAAATGTGTATATTCAACAATCCTACTCCATCTTCAAGTGCAGAAACAGTATCCTGTCACACTAACAGCAAGAGCTAGATAATGCTTGAAGAGGGAGGGTCAGTAAACTATGCAAAATAATATGCATAAACCAAGTTACAGAATCAATCTCTAACTAAGGAATAGAAATCTAAGTTAACATGTTTCATGCTCAACCAAAGGAAAGTCTATTTTGCTTCAACATTCCATAGAATGCCATGTTTTTAGTTATACTTTTGACCTCAAACAGTAAGTATAATTTGTTCAGGTTTTTTAAAAAAAGGTAACACCATAAAAGATCTGTACAAATGAGACTTTCTTTACCAAAAGTACCCAATATCTTTTGGGAATAGAGATGCTTCATGATACAAGTTTGCTGTGAAAATATTAAATAAACATTGACAATATATTTTTAATTAAATTTGATGCTAATGATAATTTCTGTAATTCTTAATTAAAAGAACAGGAAGTCCAACCATTTATGTTTAATTTATATTTTATTAATACAAAAATGTTGTACGTTTTGGGAGATATATGTGATAATTTGACAAATTCATATAATCAAATCAGGGTAATTGTGAAATTCATCACCTTATATATGTATTGTTTCTTTACACTGAGAACATTCATATCATTATCTTCTGGCTGTTTTAAAATGTACAATCCAGTGGGTACAAATATATACATTTAGATGGAAGAAATAGAACCTAGTGTTTGATAGATCAGTAGGGTGACTATAGCAATCACTTTTAGACTATGTTTTAATCACTTGTAACGTGCAATATTGCAGTAGCCCTCATGATAAAGAATTATACATGTGCATACACACACAGACACACACACACACAGCATCTTGAACTCCAGGGAAGAAATAGACTTGGAAAAAAATGTGCATTGTATATCATGCATAATTCTCCATGGAAGAAGAATGAAATATCTGGGCCCGTAGCCCAGCCAAGTTGACATGTACAATTAACCATCACACTGTGTTTAGAGTAATAATGGTCTGAGGGAGGTGTGCATGGAGAATGTATTCCAAAACTTTCTGGAGGCAATGAACTGAGGAAAATTGAATTGAGACTCATAATCCAATTAGAAATTAGAGAAATTAAGAATGAAAGAAAGAATTGTAGTTTGTTGTACATGAGGAGCTTGGGTTACCTGTGGGAATAGGAAGTAATGAGATTGGAGAGATAGATTAGATACAGATCATGAAGAGGCTTTCTGCAACGGTACGGTCTTTGAAATTAATCTTGGCAGCAATGCCAATAGGGAGAGAAATGAGAGGAACTTTGATAATTATAACCAAAACAATGACAGGAAAATTTGCATTTCAAAATAAACAATAACAATATTTAAAATAATGTGAAAGGTAAAATATATGTGGTGAAATGTAGGTCAAAGGGAAGAAATTGAGGTTGAGGACAAACATGTTTTAGCATTATTCTGTATGTTCCAACGTATATGAAAACACCTCTTCCCACATAGGACTGTGATTCCCACATGGGGGCAAAATCCACCCCCCTACAAGGGACAGTAGAAAATGTCTGGAGACATTTCTAGTTATTACAGCTTGGGATAGTGTCTTAGTCACTTTAGGCTGCTATAACAAATTACCTTCTACTGTGCGGTATAAACAAGATACATTTATTTCTCACAGCTCTAGAGGCTGGGAAGTCCAAGATCAAAGGGCCAGCCTATCTCATATCTGGTGAGTGTCTGCTTCCTGGTTTGCAGAGAGCCCTCTTCTCCCTACATTTTCACATAGTGAAGAGCAGAAAGAGAGAAAGAAAGCAAACTATTCTGTTTCTTTTTATGAGAGCACACATCACACAATGAATGTCCCACCTGTTTTCTCTCTTAGTCAGTTTGTCTGCTAAGAAGAATTACCATAGTCTTGATGACTTAGAAACAACTGCAATTTATTTCTCACAGTTCTTGAGGCTGAGAGGCTGAGATTAGGTTGCCAGAATTGTCGGGTTGTAGTAAGGGACCTCTTCTGGATTGCAGACTGCCGAGGTCTCGTTTTCTCACATCTTGGAAAGAGGTAGCTCCAAGCTCTTCTTGTAAGGGCACCAGTTCCATTCATGACAGTTCCATTCTCATGACCTCATAATCACCTCCAGAAATTTGTGCCCCCACATGCCATTACATTGTGGATTATGGTTTACTATATGAATTTGGAGGAGGGGGATAAAAGCATTCAGCTTATAGCAGGTAGGGTGTTACTGGCATCTAGGGGTGGAAGTCAGGAATGGTACTAAACATTCTGAAACACAGGATAGCTCCCACAGAAATTATCTGGCCCCAAGTCAATAGTGCTAAGGTTGAGAAAACCTGACATAGAGTAAAACAAGCTAAATGGCAAATTAGTAAAACTGGAGTACTAATTGTATTCATGGGAAGAAATTTTGAAAAGCTATTTTTCAGAGATAGATGTCTATACAAATCATATACATGAATAGTTATGTGAATGTTTCAATGTGTACTTTCAATCAATTAAAATATGATGTCATTAATTGTCTCAGTAATTACCCCATATCATTGGGAGCACTTGAGTGAACACTTACTAGGAAACGTGCACTCTCCTGGTTGTTGGGATGCAAAGATGATTGGTACATAGTTTCCAAATGTTAAGAAGGGAGGCATAAATCTATTAGCATATGCATTATTCTTTCTGCTTTGTTTTGGTTAGAGAACTAAAATGAATCCTGCTAAAGCTGCCTTAAAATAATTAGACTCCATAGCTGCTGTTTGGGGGCATAATTTACATAATATTTATTCTTGATTTTAATAAAAATGTGTCATTCACATGGGCCTCTGGGTACAAATAGTGAATTTAAAAAACAGAAAACATTAATAAAAACAAAAGCAAGCCTTATACTTCCACCTTTCTCAGGGACCAAATGTTTGTACTAATTAAGGAAAAGCACACTGAAAAGATGTACTTTGCAGTGTGCCCTGAAATGCAATTAACTCCAAGTCTCTAGAATTGGTAATGAAAGGGAGTTTGAGCTTTGCAAGCATTTGTGAAAAGCTTCCTGACTTCGGTCTTTTGTATTTTACTATTGTACTTTTGTACTTCGGTCTTTGTATTTTACCATTGTACTTTTATAACTTATTAGTAAGACTCTTCAGATTTCATAGCGAATACAATACCTAGGTTTTGTCTGTTTCAACTCTAAACAAGATGTGTAACTTGCAGCAATATAAAGTATATATAAAATGTAAAATAAATTATTGTTGATTGTAATCACCATGTCAGGCTGTGAAATACTAGCTGTTATTCCTTCTAACTATATTTTTTACCATCATCCCCAATTATCCACCCCACCACCACTACCCTTCCTAGCCTCTGACAACCATTATTCTACCCTTTCTCTCCTTGGGTTCAATTGTTCTAATTTTTAGCTCCCACATATGAGTAAGAACATGTGAAGTATGCTGTTCTGTGCCTGGCTTATTTCACTTAACATAATGTCCTGCAGTTCTATCTATGTTGCAAACGACAGGATCTTATTCTGTTTTATGGCTGAATTACTGTATTGTGTGTATGTACCACATTTTCTTTATCCATTCATCTATTGATGGACACTTAGGTTGCTTTCAAATCTTGGCTGTTGTGAATAGTGCTGCAGTGAATATGGGAGTGCAGATATCTCTTCAGTGTACTGATTTCCTTTCTGATATGGCTTGGCTGTGTCCCCACCCAAATCTCATCTTGAATTATAGCTCCCATAATTCCCACGTGTTGTGGGAGGGATCTGGTGGGAGATAATTGATTCGTGGGGGTGGTTTCCCCATAGTGT